TTTATCTTAGTTTTATTTGAAAAATTTAATTGCTTTTTAAAAATGAATGACATTTCTTAAACAAATATAGATCCAACTTATATGTAAAGATTGAATAAAACAAATCTTCAAGATAAGCAGAGTTGCTGTTCATGAGAGTGTCCATGTGGATGTAAAGTTACCTATAGTTTGTGTGCACTTAGATCCATGTGGGCAGGTTTGAATGTTCATACATATATAACATTCTGTTGCATGTGGGTATGTCTGTCTATCTATCAGTAAGCATCTGCAGGCATGTTTGTCTGATCATACAGTAAATGACCTATAGCCCTCTGTCTCTCATACACTCCTCTCCATCACTCCAACCTCTCATTACAGCTGTAGAGGCCCAGCCTGTCACGTAATTAAAGGCAAAGTTATAAATGACCAGCAGGCCAAAAGCTATATTTCACAGGTGGCTGTGTATTTATTTATAATTTTTCACCTTTAAATGTGTTTCTTATGCAAATGAGAGCCAGGACACTTTTCAATTAACTTTGGGGGCCAGTCCCTCCAAGTACCACAGGACCTTGTTATTGAAAATAAAGTATTTTTTGTTATCAGGCATAAATTATTGCTGTCTGTGACAAAGAAATTGCACAATATAATGTATGAACCTGTGTTTGGTGCTGCCAGAGGTGGCCGGAATAATTCTCATCTATTGAAAACTTGGTGATTGCTTTTCTATGAAACCACTATTATTACATTTTTTTATACTATATGATGTCCACTTCCCAGGCCTGTTGATTTTCCTTTACTTTGGTATTCTCACTTTCTATTACATGCACAACACTTCCATTTGCAGTACACTGCATGGCAATTTAAAAGTATATTAAATGAGCAATTGGAAAGCAGGCAGTTAGGTATGGTTCTTTTATGGTGGCACACTCAAAGTGCCCCTTTCTGCCTCATTTTCTCCTTAATTGACCAACTGAAGAGAAGAAGCAGAGCAACCTTGTTACACTATCATATCAGGGAGAATTATTTAGAGAGCAGAGAGCTCAGCAAAGCTGGCTGTCCACTAGAAAAAGGAAAGAAAAAGAGTTTAGAGGAGAAAATTAAAAGCAAGACAATGACTGTTAACAGGAGAAAGAACATGTGTTTCCCCTGATCTCCTGTCACACCAGCAGTCCCGCACAGTGTGAGATGTGGAAGATATGCTTTGAGGTACGTGCATGTTACATTCGTTACCCAGTACGTGCATCACACGTTGAGGTGTGTGTGCAGCTGTGCCCTCTCCATGGTGCGTAAAAAACGTCCATTAATTGAATTCCCCCCTAATTTCCCGTCAGCCTGGCCTTGTCGAGCGGAGACGCCTGCATGCCTGCCAGCCGAACAACGCTGCACTTCAGGTATGGTGGATAATGGAGGATGACATTTCTGTCCCATCATGCCTGGGGGCAGCATGTGATACATGGCTTCCTCTATGAAGGTTAAACTCAGCTAACCTGCCTTTGGCGTTTCATTATCCACTTGTTAAATACTCTTTTGGTAATAAAATGATTAAAAATTTTATTGCTTCTCTCAAATGAGGCCTCTTTTCAAAGGGCCTTAACGACTTTAGAGGTGGATATGAGTGTGTGTGTGTGTGTGTGTGTGTGTGTGTGTGTGTGTGTGTGTGTGTGTGTGTGTGTGTGTGTGTGTGTGTGTGTGTGTGTGTGTGTGTGTGTGTGTGTGTGGTGCAATGTGTGTGCAGGCATGTGAGTGTGTGTGTGTGTGTCTAGAGACTTGCATCTATAGTTAGGTACGAGTAGAGTGTAAAAACCTAATGAGAGTGATATGCTTTAAAGCGAAACCACCATTATTCTCAGCCAAACGATCTGGCCCGTCATTATGTTTAAAGTAGCAATACCTTTCCTTCTGCCAGGGCACATTCAAATAGACATGTTTTACATACACCTCAGTCTGTGTCTTGAAATGAAGTGAGGTATTTATACTAAAATGAATGGGCCGGACTATTTTTACTTCACAAGTTAAGCACCGTGGCTATAGCAACGGGACATAAAATATTATATTCAAGCCATTAACAGGGACTACAAGCCTTGCCTAGGCCAATATGTCTCCACAGTGGCTTAGAAAAGCATCATATTCAATGTCATTTGCCTGTAAAATTAGCAGTAAAGTGACTTGAAAAACTAATCTCGAAATCTTAATCTGTGTCTCTTTTAAACTCTGAGTCACAAAACTAGAATAGATCATAAAAAACTTGTTTAAGACAGCACACAATGTGTTTTTCTTTTTAGTTTATTGATAGTGAGTAGAATATTCTTAATCAAAATAGTAAGTTCTCAAAAAGGTCTGCAATCTTTTCATGTAATCGCTGTATATCTTTTGACATAAAATGTTAAAACAGATGTTCTGTTTTTTTTGGCTATTGGTTGCTGCCAACAAGCATATGTAGTTTTGTTTGGGGATTTCTCAGATTAGCTCACCTCCCTGTTGGGTCTTTGAGTCTCAATAGGTTTTGTTAGCGTTCATTGTTGTCCTGCTGCTGCCCCCACAAAATCTCCACCCCCACCCCCCACAACCTACACACACACACAAACTCTCACTTAATAAATGGTTGGGTCCCCCTCCCTCGGGCCAGAGGAGTCGGTGCTGGTCGGTTCATATGATATATCATGGCAGCCCACTCCTCTCTGCTCCACTGGACCCTGTCCAACACCTGTTCTCCCATCAGGGGATGTTGTGTTGGTGTGGCATGGCTGTGCCACTGTACAGATTGGCAATGCCCAGTTGGGATAGCAGAAAGGATGAAGTATGAGATTTTCAGTGACAAAATGTAAACTGTAATTAGGAGGGAGGACTAGAGTCAGGAATGGTTAGGCCTTGTTTAAAATGGCCTAAAAATATTCCTAAATGTTATTAGTATCACTGTATTTTACAGCATTTATTTGCTTAACTGTGGAATTAGGTAACTGCTTTAGGTTCCAGCTGCACCTCAGAGTAACACCTAGCATTAATGAATCAAGCATTAAAAGACTATCTTATTCAAGTTTGCCTATGTTTTCATTAAATAAAATGTACCTATAAAATTAAATGGAAATTGTTGTTAAAAGTATTACTAATTAAGGCTTTTGGATTATAACCATTTTTTTTTATCTATCTTTACATGATATCCAGGATAGCAATTGGATATCCACAAATATTTTATTCTGTTTTTGTACTTTTTAGATATTATTTCATATATCATAGTTTATACTCAGTTTAAGTGGCATGCAAGACCATTCGTTCTCCTTGTTCTTTTCTACATTTTACCACTTTATTAAATGAACACATATTGCCCTTCAATCCATCTTCCCACCCACTTTGAATGTAGGCCAAAAAGTTTTAATTGTGGTCTCATCTGAACAGAGTACCTTCTTTCAATGTTTGCTCTGTGCCTACATGGCTTGTGGCAAACTTTAAATGTGAGTTCTTATGACCTTCTTGCAACAATGAGTTTCTTTTAGCTTCTCCTCCATAAAGGTAGAGTGGTAAGATATGTTGTGTGCAATGGTTTCCTGTAAACAGTGTTTTTCCACCTGAGGTGTGGTTCTCTGCTACTCCTCCAAAGTTGTCTGGCCAGTTTAGGGGAATATTTAATGTCTTGGTAGGTGTGCTGTTGTACTATGCTCTTTACATCTTCAGATGATGGGTTGAACAATGTTCTGTGAGATTTTAAAGGCTTGGGATATTGTTTTACAACTGTGCCCCGCTTTAAACTTCTGACCTCTCAGTTGTGTTTCTTGGTCTTCATAAGATTGTTTGTTCATTCAATTAATAAATAAACATGTGGGTTCTTTTAAGAACAGTTCTATTTATACTAAGGTTAAATTACATACAGGTGGACTCTACTAAACTTTTAAAGACAAGTACTTGGACTAGGTTTAATTAGGCCTATCCTTTCATAGAGCTCCTATTTTAGCCTAATAATTCCTGCTTAGGAGACTTAGCTAAAGAGGGATTCAGTCTTGTAAGAGCTGTGATTGGTTGTTACAAAAAAAATAAAACAAATGTGCTCCTAGTAATCAATGGAGAGAAATTAACCATTATATAATTTGGACTGGATTCAGAATTTTTGAAAGATGAGGAAACTTGGCAAACTTAAATCAATTGTAACACAGCATCAAAATATTTGAACTCACCTTATTTACGTGCTCATCATCATTTTGATTTGCTTATTATTATGTTTACTCACCATGCTGGTTATTTCCTGCTTCATCTATTTAATATTAATGTGGACACTCATCTGTCAGCATTATACTGGGAGTTTATTCTTGTATAAAGTGTTTTGATTTGGCAAAATGACCAAAATAAAATAAAGAAAAAAAGGTGGAGAAAACCAAACTGGACAGAGGAGCAGAGCTGGCACAGCTGGTGGAGAAGAAGAGAGGAGTGTTTAAAGGTAGATTTGGTCCAAGGATCACAAAGAGGCAGTGCACATTGCCAAGCAGATCAATGTGTTATTCCCTCTGCTTTCACGCACCATCCTGGAATATGAGAAGCCCTGGTACCTTGTGCAATCAGAAGCAAGAGAGGAGATTGTCGCACACAAGCAAATTTCTTCACATACAGGTGGGTGGAAGTGTTTAGGCTATGGCTACTAACATCATCATGTACAATACAACAAATACTAATTTAACACATTTCCTTCCTTCTGTGTATATAGTGTTTAAATTATTGTATTTTATCTTGTCTAGAGTGTGTATTTATGGATATAAATATATATTTGGAATTTCCTCCATAGTGGGTCTTGGGGAAGCTGGTGCCTATCTCCAGCAGTCTATGGGCAGGAGGCGGGGTACAACCAGGACATGTTGCCAGTCCATCGCAGGGCAACACAGACATACACAGGACAAATAACCACACACACACTCATTCACACCTAATGGCAGTTTAGAGAGACCAGTTAACCTAACAGTAATGTTTTTGGACTGTGGGAGGAAGCCAGAGAAAAACCATCCATGCACAGGGAGAACATACAAACTATATGCAGAAAGACCCCCGGTCGGGAGTCAAACCCAGGACCTTCTGGCTGCAAGGCAACAGCGCTACCAACTGCACCACCATGGAGACCTTTTTCCAATTTTTTTCCAAATGTTTATTTTTGAAAACATTTTACAGTCTGTAAATAATATTTAAATTCTTCTGTACTAACACTAAAACTGAAAATGTTTCATTTCCCCTTAGGTAGATGATAAGGGTTATCTTATCTCTATATTAATAACTGTATGGTTTTTATAGAAGTATATGGGCTCATTTACTTAGACTTATTTAGAAAAGCAGAGATTCTACAATCTCAGACCTTGATAATTAAACTGATAAGTATAACATATTTGTGGTGTAACTGACTAAATGTAAACCAAAATTACAGTATTGAAACGTTCTCTATCATCTACAGTAAAACTAAAACCCACTTAAATTTTTATATTTAAAAAAGCAAATCTCTGGGAATCTGTTGAGTTTGAAAAACCTTAATTTTCCCATTTTAAATCTTGTTATTTAGCAACAAAATAAAATATGTCAAGGAAACAATACATGCATGAGACACGTGCATGTAAAAAAAAAAATTTGGCACCAATGAAAAGAAGATGTGTGTCCTTCACAGTGAAATACAATGATAATGAAACCATTTATACTTTATATGTGTATACCAGATTAACATGAGAAACTTAACTCACTCACTTCGGAAGAAGGCCCAGCAGGGACTATACTTCCTGAGACAACTCAAGAAGTACAACCTTCCACAGGAGCTGCTGGTCATCTTCATCACTGCCATCATTCAGTCTGTCCTGTCTTCATCCATCTCAGTGTGGTTTGGCTCATCCACAAAACAGGACAGATCCAGACTGCAAACAACAACCAGGTCTGCAGAGAGAATCATCAGGGCTGACCTTCCCTAAATCTAGGACTTATACAGGTCTAGGCTCAGGAAAAGGGCAGCTAAAATCTCTACAGAGCCCACAACACCCTGCACACAAACTGTTTAGGCTTCTACCTTCAGGTGGCGCTACAGAGCGCTGTCTGCTAAAACCAGCATCCACAGAGACAGTTTCTTAACACAGGCTGTTTATCTGATGAATACTTGACAGTCAGAGCTCCAGAATAACATCATACATACTTAGACTGATCTCGCATTATATTCTATTGTAAAGTCAGTTGTTTATATATGTACATTTAAAAAGATTCCACTGATATCTAAAAAGAAAAATCCTCACTGAGAGCAAAGTGTACTGGAGTCAAATTCTTTGTTTGTCTGTACAAACTTGGCAATAATGCTGATTCTGATTCTGATTTTCGGTCTGTTGTGACAGCAGGGACACAGTCTTTGAGCTTATTAAAGTTGTCCCGATGAGAACAAGAAAACTTTTCACTGATAACTCGAGATTTTTTTTTTAAATCATAGGTTATTTGTCCCAATTAAACACAAAAGAAAACGTTCTGTTTGTTATTAAGTCACTAACGTTATCCCGAGGAATTTTGTTGAGGCCCTTGCTCTCACTGTAATACGATGTTTTGTCCAGCAGAGGGCAACATACGTCTATTGGATTCGGATTTTTTTTTCCCCAAACCATTTTTTAAACTTTTTTTTGTTTTGTTTTTTATTTTTTTATTTTTTTTTTATTTCTTCTGCCTAAAACAGTAGCGTTCCTCCCACATCAATGACACAACTTAAAAATTTTAATTTATATGTAAAACTATGCTTCGTTCTTTGTTTTTATAATTTAGTGATACCTGGTGAATAATGAAAGCTGATTATTAACAAATGCACTCTTTGGTGCAAAAGGGGATTTCAAGCGATGCATTATCAGAACTAGTTAGTTGATAAAGAAATGGAGACCAGTTTGTTGCTGGTTTGCTTAGTTCATACAGCTCAAACTTTTAAATTTAACTGCTGGGTATGTGATTTGAAAGAAATACACAAGATATGCATTTGAGCTAAAATATGTGTTATTGTTATTAAAATGTCAGTTAGACACATGAAGTTTTATTTCTTTCTTTAAAAGGGATTCTGAAAAGTCACAAAAGAAAAAAATAAGAAGAAAAGTTGCAGTTTGAGAACATTTTATTTTCATGAACAGCCAAGGCCAACCATTGCACTAATCATTGATTCTGACATTTAAATTACTTCAAGTCGTGGTTATGGGCAAATATTCTGCTTTTGTTTTATCATTAGGCTTATGTGTTTTTTTCTTTCTTTCTCCATTCACCGAGGCTTCTGTTTATTTTACTCCGTCATTCTTCTATGCTCTGCCTTTGCTTTTTAAAACATAGATTGATTAAATTTCCGTATTCCGAGTCGGACCGAAGCACAGTTCCGAAGGAAGGGGACGGACCTCTCGGCAGATCAGAGGTGACGACACGCGCGACACCAGAGCCAGTCCCGCTGCAGGTCTCGCGCCGGTGACATGGTGGCAGCACGCGGGATCAGTCCCCTCGTTTTATGAGAAAAGTAGCTTTTCGGACTTTGTCGCTGGACTGTAGAGGTAAGTCTGTTTTGTTGTTTTTTTAGTCGCAGCTTTAATTACTACCTGAGTTGGCTTCTCAAGGATAAAAAACTCACCGTCACTTTGTGAACTCAGTTGTTGCTGATGTTAAATAATCCGTTATCACTGTGTGTGGTATTTAGGCATATCGCGCGCTTTCTGTACTTTTTACAAATGTATTTATTATTTTGTGGCTCTTTTCAAAGCCGCATCCTTAAAAGGTTCAATAACAGCTTTGTGAAGTTGCATACAATACATAAGAAAAAAACATTAATTATTAGAAATTTAATTTGACTCCACCCATCATTTAATAGCAATATGTTAATAAACATTAAAATTGTCGACCAATCTTCTAAATGTACCTGTCTTCCCACAAATATTTTGTGTTCTTGATTATTTTATTTTACAAGTTTGGAGCCAAATGCACCACACAGATTATTTATTTGCTTTCCTGGCATAGTTGCAGAGATGCTGTCTTGTATTTATTGTCACTTTAAAAAGTTTTATTGATTTCTTTGTGATATATATTTTTACTGACATGTGTCTGGATTGAAGTTGATGCAAATTTATCATCAACATTTTCACACCAGCCTGTTCATTCAAAGTTAAGATGATGGGTACAGCATGATTTAAATTCTTGAGGACATTCATCATCAAATAAGTTTAAAGCCACACCAATGCACATATTGAGCCAGATGTTCGTTGATCTAGACAATACAAGTACCCCTGGAGCTATGTAAGCAGAACAGAGCAGAAGAAACTATCTGCTCAAGGACATTCTCTGAGAAAGCAAAGCAACAGGCAATGAGGGGCAGATTTATGTTGTACAGTTTATCAACTGACAATGATCTGCTGCAGAAGTAGTGTCTTCTACAATCTTTGTGTAGGTGGTGGCGTTTTCCATGTGCTACAGTCATAGACCATTTTGTATTGTAATCTGCTTTGCAGTATGACATTGTTAAGATTTGTCCTGTTCATACAGGGAAACACATCAGTGGCTAAAGCCTGTAGCGATTTAATGATTGGAGTATTTATTTTTAGTTATTGTAAACTGATTTGCTGGGTATTGCAAAGTGTGGATCAATACCTGAATGTATAGCTGAGTGGCTGCCTAAGGAGTTGCCTGACCAGTTGGCTGACTGGTCATCCATCCAGTGTCAGTTGAGCAAACTGTGAATGGAAGTGTTTGCTGTGGGTCACTGCTCAGAGGTGCTCCCATTTCAATATCCACTTTTGCCTGTTTGCTCTGCACATGCGCTCTGAGCAGTCTGTGTCAGAGTATGGGTATAGCTAGATTTATTTTACTGTTTACATTCTTCAACTCAGGCCAGAAATAGTTGCTGTGCATTCCTCAGCTAGATTATCTTATCTGTTTTAAATACAGACACACATACACCCTTCAGACCTAAACACTAAAAAGAGTCATCCAGTCTGTGACTTCAGTAAAGTTCACATTGATTTACCCCCCGCTGACCTAAACTTAACTAAAGTAACTTAATCTGACATATAATGAAACGAATATTTAATGTTCCCATCACATGAGCAATACCTTCGGCAGGCATGTACTAGCTCTGTACAATTCCTAGTAGTAGTTTTAATTGAATCAATCTTATTCATCACAGTTGTACCATTATCTTCTCAGCTGCGCAGTGGCAATGTATGTGGAGACCCCATGTGTCAGAGTGAACAGAAAGAAATTAAAGCCTTGGTGCTGCTGCATGTATGTGTGTGTGTGTGTGTGTGTGTGTGTGTGTGTGTGTGTGTGTGTGTGTGTGTGACTGACTGGTATGTGGGCTGTGTTGTGAGAGAAAAAAAGCCAGGGTCTGTTTCTGACCTCTCCCATTATGACCCTTCACCCCTCCCTAAGACAAGCCTTTTGTGTCCACTGAGCCCAAGACCCTGGGAGAGTGTGTCTGGAGTGGGAGGTGGGGAGTCCCTGTGTTTGTGCATGTGTGCGTGTGTGTGTGTGCGTGCATGTGTGTGTGTGTGTGTGTGTGTGTGTGCATGTTGGTGTGCACATGTGCAAGAAGGAAAGCCACATCAAAGTCTTACTTAAACATTGTTATCGGGGCTCACCTTTGACCTTGTGCTCATGAGACATCCTTCAAACTGATTCAGCCATGCGCTCACAGCAGAGATGATATATGTGTGTTTGCATATGTTAGCTGACTTGTGCACAATGGAACTATAGCTGTGATTGCAGAAGTTTTAAATTCACCTGATATTGTAGTTAAGATTAAGCTTTGGTATAAACTAGATGTTGCTACCAAATATTTTCTCTTGAAAATGGGTGTAAATTACACTTTTATAAAATGTAATAATGAATATGCCTGAAAAATATTTTAAAATATTAAATATAAAGTAGAAACATGTTAGATTAGTGGTTTAATGCTTAGATTTCCCCTTACAGTATCCGAACTGCCAATTCTGTGTGTGTGTGTGTGTGTGGGGGGGGGGGGGGGGGGGGGGGGGGGGGGGGGGGTTTTTGT